GTGGTGGTCTAGGCAACACGGAGTTTTTCTCCGTGGCATCCCAACAATTACTTCATTCACACACAGAAGAAGGCAATGGCAAACCACTTCTGGATCATCTGCCAAGAACGTATATGAACAGGTCCCAGTCCGAGAAAAGGATGGAAGGATCCTGTTCATATGGACCTGTCGTCAGACAGAACACTACAAAAAAAATATATACAATTTATATAATTTAAATTGTACTCAACTACCTCACATCACAGGTCCATACTTTATTTAATAACTGTGTGTCAGCTATAAATTACGAACTGCATGTAACTAGCACAGGATAGAATCCGGTGGCGGGCTTTTGTGAACACGGTGATGAACCTGCGGGTTCCATAAGAAAGTGGGTTATTCTTTGACAAGCCGAGTATACCACACAATTGACATTTCAAAGAATATCCCGCATCACATTAGTTAGTGAGTGAGTGAGTGTGTGAGTTAAATATTTATTTTTTATTTTATATTATTTATTTATTTGGTGTTCTGTCTGACGACAGGTCCCTATGAACAGGATCCTTCCATCCTTTTCTCGGACTGGGACCTTTCATATACGTTCTTGGCAGATGATCCAGAAGTGGTTTGCCATTGCCTTCTTCTGTGTGTGAATGGAGTAATTGTTGGGATGCCACGGAGAAACCGGGGAAGCCCCCGGAGGAAAACTCCGTGTTGCCTAGACCACGGCCTTGCCCAACACAAGTTATAAATTCGGGCACCGCCGGGAATCGAACATTAAGGTAGACGTGAACAGAAAATTATTAACTCTAATTTACTGGTTGCTCGTTACGTCTTAACCAGCTCTGCTGCATAAATTGGCTAGCTCTGTGTTAACACTTTGAGGCCGAGAAACCTAAGCTGACGTCGTGGTCCTGTCATTGCTTTAAGCTAATGGATGTCTTATTTTGAGGTTTCTATCGTCGGCCAGTGATACGTAGAAAACGCCGAGCAAGTAGACAGCTGACAAAGGGTTAAAGCTCACTCCGAGGTTCGTAAAATCAATAACGACGACGACCTGTGGCGACGCCATGGGACTAGACGCGTCGGCGTTAGTAAGTTCCGAGAGTCTGCTGTGTTACAGACGCCTGTGGAAGAATATTTTGCGTGATCACAGACACTGGTGAGTACTTAGCTTTACCGACTTCAAGTAGACAGCCCTTCTGGAATTGTTTATAATGCTCTTTAACATTTTTTTCCAAATTTATATGGGATCTTGAATATTTTCATTACAAAATTTTCAGGATAAAACAGTATATTTTAATACAGACAGTAATCTGTTATCAAATATATTAACGTCAATGAGTCAGAATCACGTGAATCAAATAGTACTTTTTAAAAATTAGACACTGTGGTCTGTGTATATTATTTTAAAGAAAAGAATAATTATTGGTTTGCTGGCAAGTACCTCTAATATAAATTCATGTAGGGCCTTGTTTAAGTCTGTTATGAAATTTATGATCTATGAAATAAAATAATGTTAGTCATGATATTAAACAATTTTACACGTACAAGAGAAATTTTCGAAAATGGGCAGGCAGTTCATAAGTAATGTTAATAGATTCTCTAAAATGGGGGCTTCTAAATTACAGGTTCATAATGATAGAATTTAATTAAAATACCAAGTCTGGCATTTAAAATTAAACGATGGTAGGACTATGCTACGAAAATGATATTATGTACTAGTAACTTAAAACACGTCAACATTTATAATAAATGTACGAATAACGAAGTAGTTTTATCTGTAAGAAGATAAATGCAATTAAAGCTTAAAATAGTATTATGTTTACACGACAAACAGCGGAAAATGAAAGCAATCTTTTTCCGTATAATGAGTTGGCCAATACTTTCGCGTGTGAGGCCAACTCTAGCTTTAAACTCGTGCCATTTAGATTTAGAGTCGTCTACGAATCAGGTTAATGGCACTGTAGACGTAAATTATTTTTTCTAAAAAAATTTATATCGTGTAAAACAAATTAATTGGCATTTAAGCTAAACGTGTGTCAGTGTTATGCCCTAAACATATGATTGTTAAATAACTGCAGGGAAAGGATCATTATTAAAGGTTCGACAATTTTCATGGAAATGTATTGATTTGTTGCAGTTGGTCACACTGGAGGTTTCCACCACAAGCTGTTGGAATCATGCGGAGAGGCTGGAGCTCTCTGTGTCAGATCAAAATATACTTCTTGGCCATTATAATGCTCGTCATAAGTGGATACCTCTTCTTCTCAGGTAAATTACAAACGTAGCTAGTTCCTACTTTGTAAGATTTGAGGTTCTCACAGCGGTGTGTATGAAAATTTCTGTCTTCTGGGTTGTTGCGCTGTGTAGTCTGGTCGATGTTTACCAACGTTTCAGAGGTCATACTGCCTCCGTCATCAGGGCGATGAGTATGAAGATTTCTGTCTTCTGGGTTGTTGCGCTGTGTAGTCTGGTCGATGTTTACCAACGTTTCAGAGGTCATACTGCCTCCGTCATCAGGACGAGGAATCGATGAACCCAGAAGACATAAATCTTCCTAGTTCCTACTTACTTTTGGACATAGTGCAGTTAAGATTTAGGTTGTATACACTGGATCTCAAAAAAATAATTACACAATTTCGAATCTCTATGGGGTCCTCTCATAAAACCAGAAAAAAATTACAATTATTTAAGTGGCATGTTTTTATTTACGACGTCACGAAATTATATCTTGAAAGTTGTATTCTTCGTGTGCCTAATGTCGCACTTCTTGTATTTTCGCTGCAGTTAGCTTACTTTTTAAGGAATACTGCACAGCGTCGAGGTGACCCAGTTTCCTTTTCAAGAACAAAGCCAAACATTGGGACATGCCCATAAAAGATGCGAAATTCTGACACGTGAGAAACATCCACGTTATAAATAAATCATTGTAAAGGTTCAACCATTTGAGGCACGAAGTCTAAGCAATGTTTAAACATTTTTTCTATATAAAAATTGCGTTTCCATTACTGGTTAATGCTGTTTAGAGAAATGGTCGCCAGTTATTCTGAAAATCGTACGAAACTAGTGAATACAATTTCAGGAGAAAATCCGAAGACACTGAAGTTAAAACACGTGGTATGTTACATGTAATCATGTTGCTTTAACGAGTTAAATGACTTGAATATCTTGACACTATAACATATAACAGAGAAATTTATATATGTAGTTTTGACTGTGATGTTATAGAGAAGTGAAACTCATACAAGGATCAATTATAACTTACAATGAGTGCATCACGATCTGAACTCATTATCTAACATTGTTCACATAATTAAACCAAGAAATCGCACAAGCCGAAATATATTTGTGTTTGAAAAGTCTGCGAGAATAGATTATTTAATTTGAAGATAATAGAAGATAAGGTTGTCCATCGTAGTGAATACTTCATTAATTCAGCGTAAGGTGTTAAGTACAATGACTATCCGGTCCCTGTCTTGTTCTGAACACACGCTGGAGAAGACAGAGAACGGGAAACACAATGCCAGAAGACAGAAATATTCATACTCATCGCCCTGATGACGGAGGCAGTATGACCTCTGAAATGTTGGTGGACATCGACCAGACTACACGGCGCAACAACCCAGAAGACAGAAATCTTCATACTCATCGCCCTGATGATGGAGGCAGTATGACCTCAGAAACGTTGGTAAACATCTACCAGACTACACAGCGCAACAACCTAGAAGGCAGAAATCTTCAATCATATAACTCTTTGGTCAATCAGTGTAAGGATGACATTATAATAGATCTATGCTGTTATGCACTCAGAAACAGTACGCATTAATTAGAAAATATTTACTTCTTACTTCAGCTGAGATTAGGACTATGTGCTCGTAAAAATGTTCCAAATGTAAATCGATTATTCGATGTGGAACATAAAATGATATTTTAATTATCTTATTTATAAATTTTAAATATAATTGTGATTAGACGGACAAAACCGAATAATTAATTTAATGCATAACAACTAATTCATAACATAAACACAATAGACAACATGAGTCAGACTGCAGATAACATCATAACTGCGCAACAGAACATGATTGGAAACATCAATAGCAAAAACAAGTTTAAACATTACCGTGTACTTGTAAAAACAAATATTTTAACACAAAATGAAAACGGAAGTTAAGAAAACTAAAGAAAGCCAACAAGTGCTTTTAGAAACTGTATTAATTTTAATATCTATAAGAGATATATATTAATATATATCATATAATTCAAACACATTATATTTCCTATCAAAAGGGTACAAAGGATTCTTGCCCAAGGGGAGGGAGATAAGGCAGCCAGGGCGTGATGCTGACCTCCATCTAGCAGCTAGGTCTAGAAAGTGTGGAGCCATACCCCATACGTTATCAGGGGAAACTTCACATTTGCCTTATACAGTATAATTTACAAGAAAACAATAATAAATTAGAAGAATTTAAAATAATGTTAATACAGTTTACTTAACATAAAATGGCTCACTGAGTAGGTTACTAAAGTACATTAAATATGACTTTTAATTGAGAAAACAGAGGTTTAAACATATCGCCGTGAAGTGACACTTCATAAAAGTATTTTTGTAGACGAAAATAATAATGAACAGAGTCGAACATTTTCATTTTTCACGAAATATTTTGGTGACCAATGCAACGCGGGAAGAGACACGTAGTAGGAACGAGAGAAATGAGAAAGGGCTCACCATTTTAGTAATAAAATCTGAAGAGACTAGACATTTTAAGAGACACGGGCCTAATTATATATCATATTTAAAATGATTCTGAACGAGTACTGGGTAATTATGCAGATCTGATTTAACTGGTTCAATATTGGGTCCAACGACTGGCTGTTATGAACGTGGAAATAAGTTTATGGGTTCCATGGAAGTCGGGGGAATATCTTGACTAATTTTGAGCGATTAGCGACTTCTCAAGAAGACTTCACTCCATGAAATTAAGTAGGATAATTGTATATTTAGAATGAGATATAAAGCAACTTAAGAATTACATTTTAATATGTGACGTTACAACAGATAACAGAAACCAAAGTGTTCAATGAAACATAAACATGGATTTGAAGAACATCCGACTGTCTGCAGCTGTAACTGGATAAGGAGACATTACTTATGTTTGGAGAAGCAACTTTAATCTTTCAGACAATTACGCACTTATGTTGGAAGACGGAGTTTTCGCGAAGTAATAACGGCATTTAAAATTTAAATATTGACCTAATGTGATAATACAGAATAACAGAATCAGTTGTGTCTTACAAAAACACAGTATATTTCAAACCTGTAATTCGTTAGTAGCCATAGTTTTAAAAAATGAGACATGCCGTAAGGTAGGCGACCATTTTTTGTTATACATATAATCATCACTCAAAGCCATTAAGACACTGAACTATAACCTATGCAAAAATGCCCGTTAAATAAACGATAAATAAACAATTTCGGCGTAAAAAACTCATTATATCCATTCTGAATCAGTTCTATTTAATTGAATAAAAATTTACTTGGATATTATTCATCGTCTAGTAAATATAAAACGTAAAACGACGTTTCGGAGATAGGGATTAGCTCTATCTAGTTCTAAAACTTCTTGACGATGGTGAAGAGTCAATTGAATAAAAATTCTCCGAAACGTCGTTTTACGTTTTATATTTACTAGACGATGGATAATATCCAAGAAAATTTTTATTCAATTGACTCTTCACCATCGTCAAGAAGTTTTAGATTTGATATACAATTCTATTTAGTTCAGAGCGTGATAACGTTTTTATTAATTAATGCAATATACATTCTTCGACGAATATGTCTTTACTTGACACAAGTTGTGTGAAAATTACTACATCATCCGAATTTCCCATCACATAAGAGTTATTCTTTTTTAAAACTCTGATCCGGCTTAAATATTTCCAATTATGTAGGATCTGATGCAAATTATTTCCAATAAATAAATAAATTATTAAACTTATTTTAACAACAACTGGTACAAAAGAAATATTTGTTTCGGGCTGTCGGCCTTCTCACGTTTTCGTATCAGAATGGGTTAGAAATACTACAAACTGAGTGAGACGACTGTATAATAAGAGATGTTATTTTACCAATAAGAGCATTATTTCCTTTCCAGGAACACCTACGGGCGATGTTATACTGCGAAGATTTCTAAAGCCGACTCAAGACGCTGTCTACTATCACCGCGAGATTGCAGCACAGTTAGCTGACATAACCAGAACTCTACGAAGTATGTGCTGCTATCTTCATATTCTCTAAGAACTTTACTTCACCAAAGCGATTAACGGGGATACCGGATTATCCATTTTTATTTTGTAATTAGCCGCTGATTTTAAACATCCCCTGATCTTACGCAGATACTGCAACGAAAGATAAGTAACACTTTGCATATATTTTGTGATGCAAGCCAGTATCAAAACTATTAAGCATCAACTCCACGGAGAAGAATTCATCTTGAGAATCTAGTTGTCGCTCAGCTAGTCCAAAAATACCCCACATATTGTAGGGCCCGAGGGTTCATGAATGTTTTTACACGAGAGCGTCACCTGGTATCAGCCAATCCCAGTCCACACTCTCACAATCCATTCCGTAACGTCGTTCTTAATTTCATGATCCTAAATTTTCTTGGCCAAGGTCCCTACATCCTCTCTCCTAGATCAAAATATCCTCAACTCAACATTCTTCCAATCTCAAAATTCTTCCCTTTGTATGAGATCAAGTTTCACACCCACATATAACAAGACGGAAAATCAGTTTAGGACAACTTAAAGATTAAGTTTTATTTGCGAGTCTGAATGACAGAAGATTTTGAACCGAACCGTGTCATACATTCCCCAAATTTCATTTGCAATTAAATTTTTATTGCGTAATTTTAAATCGTTACTCTAAAAGTAAAAAAAGATGCCCACTATACGCCATGCAGACGCTTGGAGGGGGAGTGGAAGTATAGCTCCTACTCATTCCTGACCTCAGCACTAGATGGGGGTGAGAGGTCAGCATCACGCCCCGGCCTTGTTTTACCCCCAGGAAAGGACCCCGGTACCTATTGGATAGGAGGCTGGGTGGGCCCCATAACCGGTCTCGACGCAGAGGCTAGAGGAAGAATCCTCTGCCCCCGTCGGGGATCGAACCTCGATCGTCCAGTCCATAGCCAGTCACTATAATGATTGAGCTAAGCTGGCTCATAATTTGTTACTGTTGTTACCATATATCAAAACTTTGTCAGTTTCAACGGAGTTTAACTATGACATACATTTAACTCATTGTATTTATTTTTAGGTCAACCTTCGAACTAGTGTCTTGAGCTATTTATTATTTCGATTTTCCTTGTTCATTGTGATTTGTTCATGACAGATTCACTTTCAGTCAGTGTTTATATTCACGGTTTACTTACGTCTAATTAAATAACATATTTAAGACCATAATTTCTATAACTAAATTATATTACAAATCTCCTTGCACTTAGCTCATACAATACATGTTCCAATTCCAGTCAAATAGAGTTTGAAGCTTTTCAATCATAACAAATTGTATTAACGAGAAAAGTCTGTTTAGTGCAATGTCATGTTCAAACAGATAAGTTTCCCTCATTCTAAATGATGTGCCCAAATTAATAATCGAATAATTTTTTTTTGTAATTTATTCCGTATTTACGAAAACACTGCTTATGTTTTACTTTACAGACAGTGAATGTAAAGTTGACCCTCGAATTCTGCTGAGATTAAACGCCATTGCCGGTCAATTGGATCCTCGAATCGCTTTTAGCGACTCCGAAATGTTAACGACGTTGAGGAATAATGAAACGGAAACACACACAGAAGTTTGTGGCGATGCAAACAACAAATCAAGAGGAGACTATCTATTTTATCAACAAAACGACCCTCCACTTTGCAGAGGCACAGAACAGAAACGTCCAATCAGCGAACTAATCACCGTCATTGTAAATAATGTCGATAGAAATTCTAAAATATTTTCAGAAAGACTACAGATTATATTGGATGGCATTCGTGGTTACCACAAGTTCGTTCCTGTGCTGTTTGCTGACGTCAATACGAACGTGACGTACGAACAAAAGACATTCTCTCCTTCGAGATCTCTCGACAACGTCCGCATCTTAACCGTGGAGCCTCGATTTATTCTAACGCCTGGAGTAATATGGAACACTCTGATTCAAGAAGTTACAACTCCCTACGTTCTTGTCGCTAGAGATCTATCTCATTTCAACGCATATGCTAGGTTAGAACGACAGATTTACATGATTTCCATCTCTGATTTTATCGGTGTTGTCGGTGGTGCGTTCAGAAACTTAACAGGACACTGGAAAGTTGGATGTTACCAGACTGACATCCGAAATTATTTTCTAAGGATTGTCGAAGGTTATAAATATTCTACCTATGGATGCATGTTCTGTGATCATCTGGAAGGACCTTTTGTGGCGAGGACGAGCGTAATCAAAGAGATAAAATTCAACGAAGAATTACCAGATGATGTTCTCTTCAACGATTGGTTCCTGCGCGTAAAACAGTCCAACGTACTTGCAATGAACTGTCCCGACGCCATGTATTTTACGCACGGAAAAAGTCACACCCAGGAACAAAGTACCCCAAAACAAAGTTCCTGGCTGGTTTTAGCAAAACAATGGGGAGTACACAGAATATTCGTGCCTCCAAATATTATATATTTGTTCTCGTGTAAGGAGGTGGGGCTGTCGTGTAAAACATCCAAAAGATTGAAAGAACATCTCATGCCGTCTTGTTGCTTGGTTCAGATGGCCAGAGCTTGGAAAGCCTTGGATGATTTTGCCTCAACATACGGAATCGGCTATGAACTCAACTCTGGTGCGTTACTAGGAGCAGTGAAGCTGAGGACTCATTTGCCTTGGGATGTCGACGCCGACGTCCGTTTCGACACAAGAGAATATCTGACATTTTTCAGGAAACAAAAGGCATTTAATAACAAAGGTTTGAAACTGAAAGGATTTAACTCTGAGGCGAAAGGATATTTTCAAATATGGACACCGGAAGTCAACATAGAAATGTGGGGTTCGGACACTCTAACGAGCATCTTTCTTCCGGCGGATGTGAGGGAGGTTCCTACAAGAGTGTACATGTTGGGTGCTTGGGTGAGAGGTGCTGCGAACCCCGGTCTGTACGCTTGGAACAAGTATGGAGTTAACTATTTAAAACATTCTCCTGTTAGAAGTTGGACCAGCCGCAACAGCACCATGTACGAGTACCCACTGTGGACGTGGCCACCATGCCCAAACCCACAGCATCATGCCTGCCTTGACCACTATCCTACTGACGGCAGCTTCGATTTTGTGCCCCAGATGGTGCACTGAAGCTGTCTGTCCACTAAGTTAATAGTGACCAACACGCAGTTACTATGGTCCAATTAATTTAAATTTTATCAAAGCAAATGATTGACGATGTCTTTTCACGGAATATCAGCTCATTCTTAAAACAAGGACCAGATATAAAATTTATATGTGATATGAATTTTCACAAACAAATTAACTGGGTTATTAAACTCCATACGATACTTGTGAGGAAGTTAGGAGGAGACTAAATTCCGGAAATGCTTGCTACTTCTCAGTCCAAAATATTTTGTCTTCCCGTCTGATTTCTAAGAACCTTGCCTGTTGTTTTGTATGGGTGCGAAACATGGTCTCTCACTCAGAGGGAGGAACACAGATTGCAGGTGTTTGAGAATCGGGTGTTGGGGAGGATATTTGGGCCTAAGAGGGAAGACGGTGGGGCGTGGAGAAAACTGCACAATGACTAGCTTAAAATCTGTACTGCTCCCCCAGTATTGTGAGGGTGATTAAGTCGAGAAGAGTGAGATGGGCGGGACATGTAGCGTGCATGGATGGGACAAGAGGTGTGCACCGGGTACTGGTTGGGAAACCTGCAGGGAAGAGACCGCTGGGGAGACCTTGACGTAGATGGGAGGATAATCTCAGGCGGGATCTATGGGCGATAGGAGTTGAAGGAAACTGGATTTTGTTGGCCCAGGACAGGGTCCGGTGGAGGGCTTTGGTTAATTCGGTGATGAACCTTCGGGTTCGGTAAGCCATCTAGTTAGTTAGTTATTAAACTCCATACGGCAAAGGCTTTATAGATGAGCTCAGTTTCTAATAATGTCCTTATTTCAAGGACTCCAGACGCTCACTGGCGCTTTCAAAGCAACCTGAGCATATTGAGGAACCTATATAATCATTTTCCTTTACACAAAATTCTCCGGCCGAGTTAAAAAAATCTTTGGAAATAATCCACAGGTAACGTAGCCAGATTTCGTAGTGTGGACGCCAAACGCTGAAACAGCGTCAGTCTCTTTCGTATTGAGCCCATGAAAGCCTCTGAATAGAAGGGAATTTCCCAGTAAAATGCTACCCCCGTCAACCGCCAACATTTACGGTAATACAAATGACCGTTTAGAATTATAATTAATCCTGATACAATGCCATGTCAATTTGTTCCTTTGGGATACACAGACAACTCCTTGAAATATTCCGCTGTCAGATACTGTACACAAAAAATCCTGTTAGGAAATAAAACATTGGCCACATACATGGCTGTCTTCAGACTCACCGCCGTGAAAACCTCAAATCCTACATGGGCCACAGAGATAAACCACTTGCAACGACTCAGGGAGAAAGGAGGTTTGTTGCTTGGGGTCACCGGTCTAGACGGCGACATTTAAAATCGACGCAGTAAACAAACGTAATACTGCAAAGGCAATGATTTGAAAATAGATTTTTTAAAAAAAACAACAACCAGAAAAATACAGCATTTAGTAACGGCAAAATTCCGAGAACAGTAACAGAACAATGACAGGTCCACTCCATAATTTTTGTGCTGTTTGACAATGTAGTGGACCCCCCCCCCAAAAAAAGAAAGTGGTTTCGTACATTTTGAGCAACTAACACAAAGTAGGCTTACGAAAACACACTTTAGCTTAAATACAATAAGTAAGTTAAGTACTGCACAAGTACACATCCGTACTGAATAATAAAATTCCTGTGCGTGCGTCAGACATGACGAATTTATACAAAGAAAAGAACAGACCGGTTCGAGCCAGCAAAATACTGCCAACTACGAAGTGCGATCGGAAAGTTTCAAGACTGTGTCAATAGAGGGCGAACCGGATGTAGTACGAGCTTCTGCCGCTAGGGGGTGCGGCCTACATTCATAGTGAATTAGTGTGCCAGCCGGCATCATCGAATTAGCATTTGTTTCTTAGTTACGGGCGTTTTGGTAGTGCATTACACCGACCCTCCTGCGATTTCGGAATGGCGTGTGCATCAAATTTTGCCAAAGACTTGTCCGTATGTCGTATTTGTCCGTTTCACGGAGAAACCCATCATTCGACGCTGTCCTGAAAACATTCTGAGTGAAAAAACAAATTTTCAACTTTCACTTTACCCCGATTTTGCGCCAATATGAGTTACAGACACGCTGTGGCGCTCTAACGGGGTTTAATTTTACGTAATTTCATACTACACAAAGACAACGACTTCAAAAACGTCTTGAGTCGTGAATAGACAAAGACGATAAAATCAGTGAGGTTCTGAACGACCCAATAATACTTTTATAATTGCCCGGGGATCTGTTAGCGGTGTTTAACAATTATTTTCGTTATAACGCTATGGATAATGAATGGTTTGAGCTTCGGTCTAGGGTATTGCTCGAATAGAGTCGTATATTGTTAAACGAATGAGCTGTTATGACTTGAAAACTATCACAAAGACATCACCTGCATTGATTGGTCCCGATTATTACATTCAAAAGCACAGTATCGTAATTTTTAATAGGCACGTAACCCATTCTTAATTCCTTCAAAATAAGGTAATGTTCATCTGTGTAACTGATACATATATCCTGTCGTTAGTTAACAAACTACTATTTGTTAACGTACATTAGTTACGTTATATGTTAAGTTTCGTTCTTCGCTGTTATTTTGCTTATCGTCGCTGAGAACAGTTTATACAAAATATAATTAAAATATTTTTGGTACGAAAAAGACTGAGGAAATTTATAAAACAATTAAACACAACAGTGTTCACGTTAAATCGAAGAATTAGTAAAATGAAAAACTGGATGAGAGAAGAAAGAGCTCTTAGAATGTAAGGCCTACAGAGCACTGGAAAAGAACAAAGGATGAATAGTCTTCGACGTGTAAATGAGAACAGAAATTCACTTGGGAAAAAAAAATACGAGTGGACGAAACGTCCTTTATCAGTGTTTCTAAAGCCACTATCTCTTTCTTCTCGCTTATTTTATTACATGTATTAAATAAAGTATTTTCGCATACACTTTTACTTCAAAGAAATTAATAAAGATTCAAAAACAAATTCGATAAAGTAGAATTTTTATTAAAACCTGTTTGAAACCAATTCCATCTTCTAAGATGGCTGTCTTCTGGGTTGTAGAGCCATTAATCATCGCCGCCAGAACCTCAAATCCTACAATCCCATGATCTGATTGAATTTACAGAGGTGATACTTTGGATACTATTTAAGCAATAAGAAACCCTTTATTACTAATCTTTACCAATCCATCATTTTTTATCTTAATAGGGTGGTTTGTGGTCATAGTTTCTTGGTCCTGCAGGAGCAGAATCTGCTTCCGTCTTCATCTGAGGGGTAGGCACTCACATGTGTCTACTAAAGAGGGCTAACCCCAGTCACTGAACTGTAATATATCATCTTTACAGACCTCTGAAATTGTTCATATGTTGTTTTGAATCTAGTGACGAAAGTCATGTTAATATTTAATGAGAATCTTTCAAATAGTTCATACCTTAAAATAGGAGGAAAACGTGCAGTGATTTTAAAAAAGGAATAAAAGTAGATAAAAAACATATATATATATAATGACTCCTGTAGGCGACAAAATTCATACTTTCAGTGTTCTGATATCCTGCAGCTCGTTTATGTGCCTTGTAATGTGGACATATAGGGTCTATATTGTGAGCGAATTTTAAGCTTCTTATTACGTATTCAAGATTTGATGTGCAAAAATTTGAATATTTATTAAACAAGCTATTATGCCATATAAAATTACAGACTCTAAACAAGAGGTCTATAAAGTTGTGCTCTAAAAAATAAAAGATTCACGGGCAAAGAATGTCATGATCGTTTTCATATTACGTACTATAATTATATTTTAAGAGACTCATACTAGTATCCTCTGATTTTTTTTTTGTTCAAACAATTTTTGCTAATTGTGGTTTAACTTATATGAAATGAAGACCGTAATTAACAGCTTAGTTAAGCATTCCTCGCAGGGCTGTACAACCCCCCCCCAAAAAAAAATTATAAGTACAGACGGAAATTTAATTTGCATTTAAACCCAGTCTTTTCAATAATATGAAAGAGCTAATTGATTACCACAAAAATAAAATGATTGAAACGTTTTAAACAGTGACTAGTTTTTAGAATTAAACATCATCCCACTTTTACAATGCAATTGGAAACAAAAAAGGCTAGATTCGCCCGTAAGCTCGTATTTCGTTGACGCATGGCGTATGTTTGTTAAGCAGACAATGCAGTGTGTTATACACCGAGCGGACAGAAGATGCATTGCTTAAATCAGTGGTATTCAACCTGGGGTACGCGTACCCCCGTGGGTACGCGAAGACATCTTAGGGGGTACGTAAAATTTAAAAATATATATTTTATGATAAACACTGAATAATCAGTAATGTAATTTATTTAATTTATTTTAGATGTAGATTGTTGAATACCACTGGCTTAAACAACAACAACAAACTTCGAGTTTAATGCTAACATGGTGCAGTATAAGGCATTAGAAATAAATCCACTCACACATGTCCTGGATGCCAAACAATCAAAATACTATTCTCTCAGCACGCAAACAACCGTATTTTACCATGAGTTTTAAAACCATTAAAATTAATTACTTACATAAGATAATGCTCCTTTAACTCTGATGTGACTTCCAAAATTTCATAAATGATACATCAAAACTTTCGATTTTACCCTTAAGAAGTGTCAATACTGGCAAAAGAAATTTTCGTATAAAAGGTTGACACAGAGCTATCAAAAGATACACAGAAGTGTTTTCATAGGTTTTTAATGTAAAGTGTCTCTAAACTCGTTCAAACTAAACTGAAATGAAAATGGTCACCAAAGCAACTTAATTAAAGACTCGATCAAGCAGCGCGGACCCGCCTACAGGCAATTTAAGTAGGAGTCTGAGGATTGCTGTCTTCTGGGTTATTGCACCGTGTAGTCTGGTAGATTTCCACCAAAGATTCATCGTCCTGATGACGGAGCCAGCAAGACCCCTGAAATGTTGGTAGAAATCTACCAGACTACACGGCGCAATAACCCAGAAGACAGCAATCTTACGATAATTTAAGGTTTTCTCTCCGGAGACAATTTTGAAAAAAGTGCATAGGAGTCGTGTAACAATCGCGACTTTCGGAAGTCTTTTGTTACAAAACTAAGATTTCACATACTAAGATTACAAATACTAAGATTACAAATACTAAGATTTCAAATATTAAGATTTAAAATATTAAGATTTAAAATACTAAGATTACAAATACTAAGATTTCAAATATTAAGATTTCAAATACACTGCACAAAACTGAAGATATTACTTAA